TGCAATATAGCTTGAATTACGGTATTAGAAATGTAGCGGATATAATTTGAAAGTTCGAGTAATTCTATGAATGGTGATAGTATTTAATATTCTATAAATGGAGATAAGCGATTGACGGCTTGCAATATTCAACTTACTTAGCAGTACCTTATCATCACATTTTTTGTATGATATTCCAGAAATATTTGAAAAATTATCGAAAAAAATTGTAGTTTATAATTGCAAAGTGAATATTGAAATAGAAATAGCCAGAGATGTAGATAATCTATGTCTCTGAAATATCCTATAATTAAATGAATCCGACAACTTCCGGTTTACTTTATGACCTACTTGACAAGCATATCAGCCTATTTAGCCCATAAGGTAAGTTTTAAAGCAATATAAGTTATGAATTTGATGAATAATAATAATAAATTATTTATTGATGTCAATTCGTTCCTAAGGACTTAAACTTTCGTTAACAATTTCGAAGTAATTTGAGATATCTCGAGCCATTTCGTCCCCAAGACATTTCGGCCCTATGCCTAGTCTTAATTTTTGGACTGCAAAACCGACCGATATTACACAAATTTCTGCCTTTACAGGGAAAACCGGCATATACACCTACAATTTTTTGGGCTTGTCACGGCCGTAACGACTCTACCAAATGGGGGCCATTCTTAAATATTTCAGAATAATTTTAATTTTATTTTTATCTTACATGTTTATACATTAAGTATTTCAATGAATAAAGGGATTCTGAAAGATTAAAAAAGTGATTTAACGCTCAATATCAGCTGTTTAGCTATTTAGTTTAGCCCCAGCAAATACTGCAGCTCTTGTACAATTGAGACATGAGAAGACAAGCTAGAAGCACTGTCCTATTATTTCTGACTAAACTCTTATTGATTGCTAGTTGATTCTTCATACCCATAAATGACAAATGAACATCATTGTCATTGTCATTTTATATTTTACCCTCACCACCCAGTGATTTCCCCCTGTATTTTACAGCCGAATAAAGGCTGTAGCCCTTAGCCCAAGATAGGTAATTGTATATTTTCCCCTAAAAAAGCTAATATTTTCCCCTAAAACCACTGTGCACACTCATCACCAGAATGATGACTAAACATCAGTTGACTTATATCAGTTAGAAGACAGAAAGCTGTCCCTATAGATAGCCTTTGCTAGTACCATGCATAGTAAATTGAATCAAAATAGTTTTTTTAATGTATGGGTAAATTGCATTCTCAGTAGTTGGAATTTGATTTTCACCTTTTCTGATTTATCATGCTATATTTTCCCCTTCAGAAAGCCACAGGTTGTTTTGAAAATTGAAGAAAAAATCACTGCCACCATGATCATTGTTAACCTGAAAAATCTTCAGCCACTGAAAAGGATTTTAACCCCAGACCCTTGATTACAGGGCAGACACACAACCATGTGGCGAAAAGGTCAACACAACAGCAAGGGGGGTGTTGGAAATTATTTATACCTGTAATCAATATGTAGTTGAAGTAATTTAATCAGTTTTAATTGACATTAAACAATTTTGATAATACTAATATTCACATTTTAACATTTTATTCACAAATATACATGTAATATCATAAAAATTGATAAGAACATTTCGTATATAAGTGGTAATATTTTTGTTGAGTAATATGAAGAAATATTATTATCATAAATTTTCAAATTTTATGTCATTACATGCTGTACACAATCATATTATGGTGTACACATATATATACATTGTATATACACACACTAAGAGTAGTATTAGATAATTTTGAAGATGAAATCTCGTAATTGATATTTTCAGGGAAATAAAAGATCATTTACTCCAATATTCACTTGGAAAGGCTGGTACATGTAACTAGAAAAAAGTATAAGAAAGACAAGATGATTATCACAAACAACATGTACTTGTAAAATATTTGATGTTTATTTCACAAATCAAACTGTTCTCCAAAAATTATTCATGAAAACATAGGCCTTTTTACCAGTGTCACAACGGGCCAGATTACCAGACCCATTCCCAGTGGCAAATAATGCCAAATATGCTTATTTTTTCCAAGTTTAGAAAAAAATCATAATCGAGTCAAAATTTTCATTATCGAAGCTGACAATTTTTTCTTCATTCCATTCCAATCCAACATGGTACCAGACAGACAATGTTCCAAAACATATTTCATTGTCAATTCTTTTATGTATTTTTATGCTTTGAATGATATACAATTTGTCCAAGACTTCATATATAGAACAGCCTAAAATAGGAGTGTCAGTGCATGCTCACAGTTTATTATAGTGTAAGTTAAGAACATACTTTAAATATTTCTGTCAATTGGCATTAAAATACTGCCTATGACAGTCTTTTTCCTTTGCTGCAAATGATCACTTACATGAATTATCATAGTATGGTATTTTAAGGTGGTACAAATCACTCCTACAGGGCATTACAAGGAACTGCAAAATTTACAATACAGTTTTGTTGCCTTTAACAAGATCTCAATATGTATGCAAAATTTACAATACAGTTCATCCTTATGAACATTGTTTACATTTTGATTATTCAAGATTGAAACAAATGAAAATATTCAATAGCAAAGCACAGCTGTGAAGTGATTGTTTCTCCACCAAATGATTGAAATATGTATAAAATGTTTCCCTACCCTTTTATTGACAATTTTTCTGCTTAGTGTGCCTCATTGCTAAGATCTGCTTAATTGACAAGCTGTTTTTTAAATTTGAAGGGATAATCTTTAAAAGCATTCATATTGGTTATTAAACTAACCATCATTTACATTTATTTGTAGCCAATTAATAATTGTACCTTTAAATTGTATGCTGTCTAAACAAATAAATTGTATACTGTCTGAACATATGTGATAAAATATCACAAAAAAGGAATTTAGTATTTCTATGAGTATTTATTAAAGAAATTGTATTTCAAATATATTTAAATAGAGTTATTGAAAGTCATTTTGTATGACAGACACACAATTCCAGTGCTTTGCATAATAAATGTAGAAGAGACAAATAAGATATAAGCATTTTTTGCAAAATATTGCACTTCATATAATTGTTAATGCATTTTTAAAGGTGGACATATGTCACTGTCAAGCAAATGAAGATTAGCATCGCAGGATTTAGAAGTCTCCCTTGAACAGTGATGGTTGGCTAAATCACTGCTCCTGAAAATTTCTTTAAATACAAGTTTTAAAGTAAAGTACTGAAGAACTAGGCTACATACACTTACAATTAGAAAATATGAGTGAGAGTTTAACTGAAGTCTGGGGTGATCTCAAGACATTAATGAAAAAAGAAGACATTGAAAATCTGATAACAACAACAGTTACAAACATCATGGAAACTCTAGAAAAGAAACTGACTTCATTTACCAATACAAAAATAAAAGAAGAAACAAAAGAATTACAAGATAAAATGGGCAGCTTAGAATTTGAAAATGCAGAGTTAAAATCAAAACTAAATCAGATGAAAACAAAAATGGACCAACACCTGGAAAATTCACAAGAACAAATTGAAAAAAATAAATTAATGGCCCAGGAAGCAAATAAAAGAGCTAATTATAATGAGCAATATAGCAGAAAAAATAATGTTAAAATCTTAAATGTGCCAGTAAAGAAAAATGAAACCGAGGATGTCTTGATAACATCTGTACAAAATATACTCGGGAAACATGAGATCACCCTAGAGAAAGAACAAATCATAGCAATTCACAGAATACCAGGAAAAACAGGTGATATGAAACCAAGGCTGATGAAATTGAAAAATAATAATGCAAATATTGAAATAATGAGAAAACGCAGACCCCTGAAAGATGATGGCCACAGGCTAATTGATGATGTAACACAACTTAACCAGGGTTTGATCAACAGGTTGTCACTTCATCCAGATATAAGAAGTGCTTGGTTTTTTACTGGCAGTGTCTATGGTGCTACAGAAACAGGAAAAAGATACAAATTTGACATTTATGACAACATAAACTCTATAAATAATTGAAAAACAGAACTATAAAATAAAACATAAATTAAACATATGTACAAGAACTCTCATGTTTATAACAAAAGGAGTTATAGTTGGAGGATGAATCCCAAAGCTATGTTTTACAAAAACTACAATCTCATATAAAACGCTGTTTAAGTATATAATGTTTTATTTTGCGTACTTTTAAAGTTGCAGCAGAGGCAAAGACTACATGTGTACATGTACTATATAATCATGTATTTATGTGCTATACAATCATTTTGTATATGTATAATTTGGAACTGTATAGTCTTTTTTTATGTTTAAGTTGTATAATCATTTATTACATTGTACTATAAAATCATTTACATGTAATAAAAATCATTATAATAGGATATTTATACGTATGATCAAAAATAAATGGTGGTTTGAGTCGGCCCCCTGGAAAAAAGATTAAGATTAGTATTTGAGACCGGCCCCTCCCATGAGGCAGGCCCCCTCCATTATCGATCATTCAGGTCACGTGACGTTTTTAGCGTGACAAATCAGATTTGATCATCCGCACACAAAAGTATTTGGAGGTTTAAAGTTGCAGCAGAGGCAAAGACTACATTCCCAGTGATCATCTTCTTGCAGGTCAAGACTTAGTGATAATTGATATTGGTTCCATGATATTGGTTCCAATGATTTGTGTCTCGAAAATTATGTGCCTGAACAATTTGCATTGGATATTGTTAGTTATTGTTCATTTCTAACAGAGGGTCTAGGTGTAAAAAGAGTTGCAATCTCTCAGATTCTGACACGTAGTATAGAACCTTTTCATGCATATAATCAACATGTTATAAGGGCTAATGTTGCAATTCAACATATACTGTCTACTTGTGATTTCCCTGTTGTGTTATGGAAACATAGAGGAATGTGGAATTCACAGAAAACAATTCATTGTGCTGATGGTGTTCACCTATCATTAGATATTGGGTACCCAAAATACATTCGCAGTCTTCGAGATTGCATTATTCGCTTGCATAATAAGTAAAAGGATATGAATGTGGTATGTGCATTATCGCATCTTTATAGTATTTAGTAGCGCCTGACATATGCTCGATTTCATTAATTTAGGTGCCACATTTTTGGTACCTGTATTGGTACATATTTCATTATCCTATAAAGGATACTATGTTGGTACCTGTAATGGTTCTTGTTTCATTATCCTGTAAAGGAAGAATGTTTTAGTACCTGTAATGGTTCTTGTTTCATTATCCTGTAAAGGACACATGTTTTAGTACCTGTACGGGTACATTTTTTCATTATCCTGTAATGGACACATGTTTGAACCTGTAATGGTACAGTTGTACAGTAGTCAGTATACTGTATTGGACACTTGCACCTGTAAGGGGCAAATGTTATATCTGCTATTCACAAAATGACATTAAAATTACCAGTACTTGCAAGTGTACTTCTATAAATTATAATATGTATGATTAGGCTGATTTTTCAACTATGTGTCGGGGTGTTTATAAATACACATAAGCACCCTACATAGATATAAATGCACTGTAGAATGCTTAAGTTTAGTTTCTACTTGTAATAGTACATCTAAGTTAAATATTTGTAATAGTAGTTTATATAATAGTTTCCGTAAATTACTTGCATACATGTACAACTACATGTAGGATATTGCCAGATTAGAATGTGTACTGGTAATAGTGTCTATGTTTAGTACTTGTAATAGTACTTTTAATTAATATTTATACATACATTACAGTTTGCTCTTACATTTAAATTTTAATATAAAATTTAAGCACGAAAGGATATGTTTTTTGTTTAAGACCTAAAGTTCCTATCATGATATATACATGGCTTCATCGATTTCCAAATACATCATTTTCAGTCTACTTAATTAAGCAAGTATATGTAAATACAGAATACATGTATAAAAAGCTAGAATTGATCTGCGGTTTTACAAATATGTTTGTTTAAGAAGTAATGGTTAATGTCATAGCAAAATGAGTGCTATATTACTGTATGGAGGGCAGCTAGATATTTTTATTTGACATATACGGTGGTATGTACTTTAATTTAAATTAAAAAATTTTTCAGACAATATGCCACCAAAGCGCAGCCGTATTGAACCAATGGTAACCCGTACGAAGTCTAAACGGCAAAAACAAAGTTCTGATGACAACACGGAGACAGCAACTCAAAACAATAACTCTTCCATTTCGCAAAATGATGTAATATCAATAGTGGACGCTGTCATTTCGACAATGGAGAAAAGAGGTCTTGTGGCCAATACATGCGCGCCGCCATCAGAGCAAAATGTCACTGAACTGCCTTCCTCATCGAGCATCACAAATTCCACCACCGAAGCTAATCGTGTACATAACGAAATTGACAATGGAAATCCAGTAAATGTGGAAACACAAGTTCGGGAAATATTTTCTGGAGGGCACAATGTGCATTCCCACCAGCCTACTGTATGTAACATGCCAAACCCTATTGCCATGCAGACAGTGCATAGTCATACTACACCAGTTATTCCGGGAAATGCGAATCAGACAGGTATTGCTCCAATTAATTCATTGGTAACATATAATTTAGCACCAGGTGCTCTCATTCCAGACAAAATGAAACAAGCAATATGGAGTAATGAGTTTGTGGAACTACATAGTCTGCTGAAAACACAACCTGAAGAAATGACTCTAACATTAAATGCTAACAATGAACTGGTCATGATGCCTAAGTCATCTCCTAAAGCTATGTCAATAAATTCTTGGATTTCAGCATTTACCATTTATATGGACATTTATGTACAAGCTCATCCGAATGAGTTCTCACCTCTTTTAACATACATGAATATCATAAGAGATCTGGATAGAGGGTATGGGCAGGCAGCTTTTAATTTCTATGACCGGTCTTTTCGCTCACATCGTCAAACGAAACAATTACCATGGGGCACTATTCATTACGAATTGTGGGTAAAATCAACTTCTTTGCCTATTCGCACCCAAAACAATGATAGTTTCACACAAAACACTTCTAAGCGTTATTGCTATGACTTTAACAAAAGAAAAGGTTGCACAAAACGTTTTTGCCAATATGCCCACATTTGTGGTAACTGCAGAAAAAACCATCCAAGTTACAAATGTTTCGGACTACAAACTAGCCAATATAACACAAAAGCTGCCTCACCACGCCCTCTTTCCACTTCAGCTCCATCACAGAGTAATGTAATTAAACAACATTCCTTTCGTAACAACCCCAATAAGAAGTAAAGTATTGGAAATATACCTTCAGAACTATGATTCACAAGAAAAACAATTTTTAATTCAAGGTTTCCAATGCGGCTTCCGTATCCAACTTGACAACAATTCTTCTTTTCATTCTAATGAGCGAAACCATCCATCAGCTCTCTCAAACAAAGCTGTTGTGGATGCTAAAATAAATGAGGAACTTGAGGCGCGAAGGATCATGGGACCTTTTTCTGTTAAACCTTCTAATTTAGTATGTTCTCCTTTGGCATTAATCCCCAAAAAAGAACCAAATACTTTTCGACTTATTCACGACTTATCATACCCAAAAGGTATTTCAGTTAATTCAAGTATTGATAGTGAATTTACAGCTGTTCAGTATGATAGCATTGATACTGTTGTTGCCAAGGTCAAATTGTGTGGTCGTAACTGTTTAATGGCCAAAACTGATATTGAGAATGCTTTTCGGCTTATTCCAATTCATCCCTCTGATCGTCATTTACTAGGTTTTTCTTGGGAGATTAATGATCAAAGAGCTTACTTTATGGATGCTTGTCTCGCAATGGGCTTGAGCATTTCTTGCCAATTATTCAACCGTTTTAGCAATGCCTTACAATGGATAATGGAATTTAACTATAATGCTCATATGAGTCACATTCTTGATGATTTTTTCTTTGTGGGTCCTGCGCAATCCTCAGTGTGTCAAAAAAATTTAGATAATTTTTTAAGGATTTGTAAAGAGATAAATGTTCCACTTAAAATGGAAAAAACACAATCCCCTACCACATGCATTATCATTTATGGTATTGAAATAGATTCCAAAAAAATGACCGCTCGTTTACCACATGATAAAATTGTTAAGATATGCCAACTGCTGGAAGCTTTAAAATGTCGCAAAAAAGTAACATTGAAGCAATTACAATCTCTTTTAGGCTTGCTCAATTTCGCTACATATTGTGTTGTTCCGGGTCGAGCATTTTTACGACGACTTTATGATTTGACAATAGGTGTATCATGCCCTTCTTTTTATATCAGGTTAACTAAGGAAGCTAGAGCGGACATTCAAATGTGGCATGAATTTATAAAAACTTTTAATGGCAGATGCATGTTCTTAAATGACAATTGGCTGACTTCCGAATCCCTTAATTTGTTCACTGATGCTGCATCCACCATTGGTTGTGCAGGTGTATTTGGTTCCAAGTGGTTTGCACAAAAATGGAAGTTAGATTTCAAGTCGTTTCATATAAATATTTTGGAGCTATTTCCAATAGTTATTGCAGTTGAACTTTGGGGCCATAAGATGGCAAATCATAAAATTACCTTCTTCTCTGATAATGAAGCTACAGTATGCGTACTAAACAAACAATCTTCTAAAGATCCCTACATGATGAAACTAATTCGTAGGCTTGTTTTGTTATCATTGCGTTTTAATATTTTATTCCGTGCATGTTTCATTCAAGGGGTTCGTAATGTTACAGCTGATCACTTGTCTCGTTTTGAATTTCAGAAAGCATTTCATGCCTCCCCAGGGTTAGATGCCAACCCTGTAGCTGTGCCAGAACACTTGCTAGTGATTTAACGCCACAGGCTCGCCACATTATGAACTTTGCTTTAAGTGACAGGACTAAAGCAATATATTTACAGAATTGGAATACATTTCTTATATTTTGTAACACACATAATCTTAAGGTTGAACTTCCTATTTCAGAACAGAATTTGGTCAATTATCTAGCACATTTATGTACAAAGGGATACAAACTAAGCACAATATCTACACATGCTTCCTCTTTAGCTTACATTAACAAGTATCTAGGTTTTAAAGATTTTTCGGAATCCTTCTTAGTTAAACAATTATTCAAAGGCATTGCCAACTTGAAAACTAATAGTGAAATGCCAGATACCAGGTTACCTATTACACATGAGTTACTGCATAAAATGCTAACAGCGCTTCCACACACCATTCAAAATTTTTATCAGCGCACTCTTTTTGCAACTATGTGTATTCTCGCTTTCTATGGCTTTTTTAGAATTGGTGAATTGTGTAAAAAGAAAGCCAATGATACAAGCAGCCATGCCATTTTATTTAAAAATGTCAAAATCATAGAACAACCCCAAGGTACCACTGGTGTTCAAATACACTTACCCAGTTTTAAACATAGCACAAAAGCTGTAACTTTATTTCTACCTGAACTACAACATAGTCCTGTCACATGCCCTGTTGCTGCAATTAAAAACTACTTGACTCACTTTAAACATAAGGAGGGCCCCTTTTTTCAATTCATAAATGGTGAAGCGGTATCTTATGCATTCTTTAATGAAAAGTTGCGAAACACTATTGCGTTCCTAGGTTTTGACATTTCTAAATACAAGTCACACTCCTTCAGAATTGGAGCTGCAACTAATGCAGCAATGCAAGGTCACTCTGAAGAAATCATTAAACGGTTAGGACGTTGGAAATCCAATGCTTCACAAAATTATATCCGCATCCCACTTATAATGCTACCTTAATGAAGTACTGAGAAATAAACAATAGTTAGCAAAAGCATACATGTTCAGCATAAGGCTGCATGTACTTCCTTATGCTTCGATAAACATTAAAAATATTAACAGAAGGTGTGTAATTGCTGTAAAAGGTCTACGGCCAGGTAGCCGTCAATTCATTTACTGGTTAATTACATTACTCTGAATTCACTTTTCTGTCATTGCCAATTTTATAAAATTGTATAAGTTAGAACAAGTTCAGTATAAGGCTGCTTGTAGGTTCTTAGATATATGTCTTTTTTGTTTTTTGTTTTTCTGTTTTTGTTTTTTTGTATATATTACATTTGTATCCTTTTTGCATCGTAACAATACAAGTCCAGCACAAGGCTGCTTGTTGTAATATATGTTAATAATTTCATAAGTTTTGGATGTATAACTTCAGCACAAAATGCTGTATTACTAGGTGCTAGACAATTACTCTCACTCCAAGTACAGTACAAGGCTGCTTGGTACATTTAATGATTTGCTTGTCTGTAACAGTTCAGCACTGGACTGCTTGTCACATTTTGCTAGTCATTTTAAGTTGCTTCAAGTTCAGCATAAGGCTGCTTGCTAGCCAATTCTAGTCAATTTTAGGCTCTTTTAAGTATAGCACAAGCCTGCTTGTTTTATTAGTTGCTAGTCAAATAGAAACACTTTAAGTCCAGCACAATGCTAAATAATATAATGTTTGAAAGTAACTTGTTTATATATATATATGTATTGTTACTACATTGTTGTTGTTTTGTTATATTTTGAATTTTTTTTAAATTTTTTTTTACCCTTAAATAGGAACATATTCCCTGTAACATTTTAAATTCCAAAGGCATTATGTAAGTCAGTTGTCTTCTTCTGACAAATATATTTTATAACTTACATGTAGTTCTTGACAAAAACTCTCAACAACAAGGTTAACACTTCCGAGGTTCGGGTGGGTACGCATCAAGAGTTATTTACATAACACCTGTTGCTTTTGGCGGTTTTATGTTACCCACCTATGTGTGGAGCCTACATTATTTGAAACTGTTCATTTGATAACTATTTTCATATGCATATTTTATTTTCGTCATTTAAAATAAAATGACATTTTCACAATATTGTGTTGGTATTATATCTAGTCTCTCACATATAAACTTCACCTCGGAAGTGGTTTTTCTAATACTGAAAGGGGAAGATTCAAAGGATATTTAACGTAGATAAATGTGTTTGAGTCGCCCCCTGGAAAAAGATTAAGATTAGTATTTTGAGGCGGCCCCTCCAGAATATTTTGAGGCGGCCCCCTCCATTATCGATCATTCAGTCACGTGACGTTTTTAGCGTGGACAAAGCAGATTGATCATCCGCAACAAAGTCTTCCCTCCATCCTCCCCAACCACCTCCTTTGCCATGAGGAATATTTACTTAAATTTTTTTTTTTGCAATTTGTCTTAAATGTTTTTCATGATAGTTAGAAAATGTATTTTTGCAATTTGTTTTAAATGTTTTTTATGATAGTTGGTAAATGCATTTACACTGATTTTAGGTTTTATGTTACCCACCTATGTGTGGGGCGGTTTTATGTTACCCACCTATGTGTGGAGCCTACATTATTTGAAACTGTTCATTTGATAACTATTTTCATATGCATATTTTATTTTGGCGGTTTTATGTTACCCACCTATGTGTGGAGCCTACATTATTTGAAACTGTTCATTTGATAACTATTTTCATATGCATATTTTATTTTCGTCATTTAAAATAAAATGACATTTTCACGGCGTTTTATGTTACCCACCTATGTGTGGAGCCTACATTATTTGAAACTGTTCATTTGATAACTATTTTTATATGCATATTTTATTTTCGTCATTTAAAATAAAATGACACTATTTTCATATGCATATTTTATTTTCGTCATTTAAAATAAAATGACATTTTCACAATATTGTGTTGGTATTATATCTAGTCTCTCACATATAAACTTCACCTCGGAAGTGGTTTTTCTAATACTGAAAGGGGAACATATAATAGATTATTGCTTATGTACTGTACACAGTAACCTTTTTTTTCACACAATCTCAAATAAAAATTGTGATTATATACAAGTATACAAAACATGCTTGGTTCAGGATACAACTATATTATAATCAGTCATCTGCTTATCACACTTACATTATGGAACATCTACAAAATTAGAATTTGATGATATTTATTTAAAAGATGTCTTTGTGTTGCACATAATATCATACTGTAGAAGACAATCTTCGCAATTCTAGTTGCAACATCATTAACTATATAACATTTCTTTTTCCTCTTTTTTTCTCTTTAGTTTTAAATTCATTGTTTTAAAGACATTTTAAAATTTTCTTTTAATCAGTGATTAAAGTCATGTTCTTCAACAATTAAAAGGTGTCATAAATGAATAACTAAAAAAGCCGAACTTATATATTCTAACATAATTAACACATGAAATATATTATCATTGACTTTCTTAAAGCTTATTTCATTTTATTGTATGTTAAGATTTTTTCTTTATTTTTTTTCCCTTTTTTGTATGAGAACTTGTCTTCTGTTCTTTTTTCCATATGTAATTTTTGCATAATGGATGTTGTTGCAAGTTCCTTTTTTCTTTCTTTATTTTTTTTTAGTTTATTCATGCTAAACTATATTTTTACTTTATTGAGGCCATATTATTTACAGTTGTTTCACTGGGATTATGTATTAATTTCAGTCAAGTGTAGTTATTTTGTAAAATGGATATATAATGATGAATGTATTAAAATAACAATTGTCAATGAGTAATCTTAAGATTTTCTCTTTGCCGAGGTTTAAATGATAGCATTAAGAGGCGTGATATTTTTAACTTATTCCATACCAAAAAAGCTGATATACTTTGTCTACAAGAAACACATTTTATTAAAGAAATTGAAAAAAAAGTTTACCCTGATTGGGGTGGATTATGTTTTTTTAGTCATGGAAGCATGGAAGGTCAAATGGTAAGGGTGTAGCCATTTTATGTAGGAAAAATTTAGGTATTAAAATTAATTCAGTTAAAACTGATGACTCTGGAAATTTTATAATTTTACAAGTATCAGTTGATTCAATAAATTTTCTACTAGTCAATGTATATGCTCCAAACATTGATAGTCCTAATTTCTTTAAAAATATTTTTGATGTTTTAGATTCTTTTAGTGATAACGATTCATTATTTTTTTGTGGAGACTTTAATCTTGTTCAGAATCCAGACTTAGATTACCATAATTATAAATCAAAGGTTCATAATATTAAGGCTAGAAATTTTTTATTAGAAGCTATTGAAGATAAAGACCTAATAGACCCTTTTAGAGAATTACATGGTGATGTCAGAAAATATACATGGAGACGAACTAACCCTATACAACAAGGCAGATTAGATTTTTTTCTTGTAACAAGTAATCTGTATCAGTTTGTACGTAAATGTGACATAGATGTTAGTTATAGATCTGATCATTCAATTATATATTTAGATTTTTGTTTTGTTCCTGTTAGTCATGGAAAAGGTTTATGGAAATTTAATAATGCTCTTTAACATGACAGTAACCTCCTTGATATAATAAATAAGAAAATAGATGAAATAAAATTACAATATTGTTTACCAGTTTATGAAATAGATTATATTTTAGATATGCAAAATACAGAAATAGAATTTGTTATTAATGCTGAACTTTTTTTGGAGACACTTTTAATGGAAATCAGAGGTAAAACTATTTCTTATAGCTCGTTTAAGGCAAAGGAAAGAAATGTTTATGAAAAACAACTAATGGAAGAAATTATTCATATTGAACAAAATTTAACAATTGAAAATAAAGACAAACGTTTACATTTACAAAATGAATTGAATGAACTTAGATGCAATAAAATTAAAGGTGCTATGATCAGGTCTAGGTCACAGTGGATTGAATTAGGAGAAAAACCTACTAACTATGTTTTAAATTTAGAAGAATCACATTGTTTAGCTAAAACAATTCCTTTCCTAGAACTTGATGACGGAACTTTTATATATGATCAAAAAGATATACTTACAGAAACTTGTTTTTATTATGAAAAATTTGTATAAAAATGTTGTTTTGACTGATGACTCTGATATTGATAAAGAATTAGAGAATTGTGATATTACTATGTTGTCTCAGGATCAATCAGCAAAACTAGAAGGTCTCCTTTCATACGATGAAGTCTCTTTTACATTAAAAAATATGAAAAATGATAAAAGTCCTGGATGTGATGGATTTACAGTTAACTTTTTTAGAACCTTTTGGAATAGAATTGGACATTTTGTTGTGAAAGCTATTAATTATGCATATAATGCTAATTCATTTTCTAGAAATCAGAAATTAGGAACCATAACATGTATTCCGAAAGAAAACAGGCCAAAACAATTTTTAAAAAATTGGAGACCAATTACCTTATTAAATGTTGTATATAAATTAGCTTCAGGTAGTATAGCAAATAGATTGAAAACTGTTTTAGATATTTAAGTGTCAAAAGATCAAACTGGATTTGTTAAGAATAGATATATTGGTGAAAATACTAGATTATTATATGATATAATGAAATTTACTGAATATAATAATATGCCAGGTTTAATTATGATGATAGATTTTGAAAAAGCTTTGATACTCTGTCTTTTACATTTATTAAGGCTCCTTTAACATTGACCTTTTTATACTTATTGTCACACATTTTTTAAGTTAAATTACAAACTTTTTTCCATGTATTCAATACAAAATTGCAATACATAGGAAAGGGGAGAGAAATGGACGTGAAATAGAATAGAGGTACAGAAAGTGCAGTGATCCCTTTGGTAAAATGGAGTATCTAGACCCTGTTTGAGAGACGAACAAGAATTAGTCCATTTTTATTTAAGATAAATATATGAGTGTGATACAGTAACCTTCAAGTAAGCCAAATTTCACAATAAGCCCTGTGACCAGGTGTCTAATGCCACAATTCACATTATCTAATAGAAGGGGGGGGGGGGAAGAAAAAAGGAGAAACGGGCTATTTTATAAATTATTTTTGTTTTGTTTTGTGAATGTAAGAAGATGGGTGTTTTTGCTTCGTTTAAGAGGTCAGTATCACCAAAAAGATGTATTGTCAGTTGTAATATTTTGGATTTTCAAGAAGTTCAGCACGTTCTACATGTATATTAAAGTGTGGACACTTGCAGAAGTAATGATATGTGTCTTCTCATCACATTCGCAAAGAGAAATAATATTCTATGAAAATATATGTAGGATCAATATTACAGATAAGATAATAATAATAATAATCGCAAATACATGGCTAATTATTTCATTTTTGATAGATCAATGGGAGTGCATTTACGTTTATTTAATAGACAAATGGTTGCAATATTAGGTTTCTGCACAGATTTTTTCAAACAAATTGCAATGATTTTACAAAGTTTTTTCATTTAAATGCTGCCTTGATCATGTCTGTGTGTACAAGAACCGTCCATGAACATGCTCAACCAAATCGAGCTTGCAACATTTCAAATTTTGCCATTTTGCACGTTCTGTAGGAATTCTTTTTCTTTTTTTTTCTCTCTCTATTTTATCGCCACGTCAGCGTTATTTGTATCGTGTTGAGACCGTAAAATGTCGCCTCGTACTTTCAGTTAGAGTTGTTATATTTCTTTGAAGATCGTTCAGCATTACATGATTGATGTGTTGTGGCTATTTTAGTTCTTTTTATTTAGCTTTTTATCTAGCTGGGTTGTTCCAGTATTACCATTGGATACTGTAATATCGCTACTGGGAAATGTTGTCTGCTTTTTTTAAATGGTCTTTTGTGTGACAGGTTATCTGTAATATGCAGGCTTCAAAACCTATGCGTCCCTTTCAAAAAATGTTTGATCACTTTGCGCAATAATAAAAAATGTTTTGGGAAAACGTAGTGAGGGTACGTTCACGTCAATTCAGACCTTCATCGAATGGTACACAATTCTCGAAAATAAATACAGTCCCTTCTGTTTAAAAAAAACCTTAGAGGAGCCCCTTTATGGTTTTAGATTTTTGTGCCGCGTGCTTCAATTTCATCCGCACATTACAGAAATGATAAGTACCAAATCTTCTAATACATATCGATGACATTTTCTCGTCCAATGATTTTTGTCAGATTTATGGCCCTTTATTACTTTTATTTCTAAAATTTGTCTGGACATCTCATCTTATACCAGTAATGCAATTGCAATAAAACTTTACTGGATTGATCGGTAGCTCAAGTATTTGCACATTTTACATGGGTTTTCCACTCGAACGATATTTACAATGTTATGGCCCTTGATTAAAAGGTGTTTTGGCCTGATAATGATTTTTCTATTGTTATCTACACAGAAGCTGATACATCTACAAAGTAGCCACAACTTTATAGGGGTCCCTTTTATTGTGCTTATCGTCAGCATGTTCTGGTTCAATGATTTTGTCAAAGTTATGGCCCTGTTATAATTTTTATTTTTTAAACATTATTTCGGACTACTTCTCTTTTACCTATTATGCAAATTAAATGAAACTTTACAGGATTGATTGGTAGCTCAAGTCCCTGCGCATATTACACGGCTTTTCCGCTTAAATCGCTTAAATGATTTCTTACTGAGTTATGGCCCTAGAATGAAAAATTTGTTTTAACCCGATAACGATTTTTGTGTCTCCTGCCATACAGTACACAATTGAATTTGGCTATAATCAGGCGACACATATGATCACTGATCGCTCTCGATACTGTTTTAATTTCATGTTCAGAACATAGGTAAAATACTGATGACTGATTCACAGAAGAGATAAAACAAACAAAAACAGAAATTTTTAAGCATCTTTAATATCAGACGTTTACAAATAATGTAAACAATTATTTTAATTCGATATATGTATTTAACGTCCAGAAATTCCACCGGTGCATGGGTCAACTCCATTTACTGGACCATGTGCAAATTGTTTTGATAGCACTTGAGCCCTGAAACGAAATAAATGTTCTAGATAGTGCTTGATTTATTTCGGGAAAAAAAATTCAAGATAAAATATCCACGTACATTATAGAATTTAGAGTTTGAAAGAAATGTGAAATAAACAATTCCTTTCTAGAAAGCAAAGTCTTTACGCCAAAGATAATTGGCAATCAAATTAAAAAAAAGTCTCTAGTGTGATGCATAACATAATTATATTCTAATTTAATAAATCTCCTAAAACACTCAAAATATTACATTTCGTATGATATTTGAGCCGTGTCACGACAAAACCAACATAATGGGTTTGTGACCAGCATGGATCCAGACCAGCCTGGGCATCCGCGCAGTCTGATCACGATCCATGCTGTTCGCTATCAGTTTCTCTACTTGTTATAGAGTTTGTAAGCGAACAGCATGGATCCTGATCAGACTGCGCGGATGCGCAGGCTGGTCTGGATCCATGCTGGTCGCAAACGCACTATGTTGGTTTTGTCGTGAGACGGCTCATGTTTGAGTTCAGATGAATTATTTGTATACGAATTCTTTGCAAACGGCGACACAAACTAAATTAGTAATAAAGGTATTGTGGCCGTCTATTTTGTTGAGAACATCCGGGCACATTGTGCTTTCACACTGAGCTTCGGTCTCGTCACATCCAAACTGACCAAGAATTTGTTCAGCAAGTTGCAAAACTGTGCAGCAATATTAAGTAAGATCCACTAGAGAAAGTATATTCATAATAAAATATTTGTATACGAACTCTTTGCAAACTGCGCCACAAAGTAGATTTGTGATGAAAACATTGTGGCCGTCTATTTTGTTGACAACACCTGGGCACATTGTGCTTTCACATTGAGCCTCAGTTTCGTCACATCCAAATTGACCAAGAACTTGTTCAGCAAGTTGCAAAACTGTGAATAAATATAAAAGATTGTAAACAAATATTTATCTGTTTGATATTTTCAGTCACAATCATTCATTTAACTTGCATGAACAAGAACAATGATATTGATCGTATGATGTAGCAGTTTAAAAGTTATCATTAAATAATAGGAATATGAATGTACATAGTATACTTGTTCTAACATTAAAATTAAAGAGTGAAACTAAGATCTCACTGTCATATCCGCCCAGTAAGCTCTCAATGAAACGTTTGTCGTCAATCTTTGCACTCAATGCAAATGGCAACACAGCAAGTAAAAAGATGGCAATCTTCATGTTTTCTGCTACATAAGAGTAGAATAATACAAATTTATCATTCTTGATGAAATAATTACGAAGTACATGTATTTATCATTTTTAACCGGTTCTTTAAGTACATTCTAAAATCTGATTTTGTTAATAAACAATTCCATCACGTTTCTCATATATTCACTGATAATCGGGCTGGGTGAAAGAGTCGCATAATTTTTCTTGAAAGAAAACAAATTCTCCAAGCACAAAGACACAATATTCTATGAACAAATGACGCTTTTGATTTTATTGTATCATACATATAGAATACCTTGTAAATACATATATGTGAATACAATGGAAATGGTAGAAAAGTACATTGTATTTTGTATAAGTGCTCATCAGACGAAATGGTAGAACTTCTATAAAACCGGTATAAATGAAAATTAAATAATTTTATTTAAGTATAAAATCGAAAGAGAGATATGAGATGCTTCAATATTACAGTAAATATGAAAAATAGAAATAACTATGGCAATCACAGAGGAAAAAAAACAGATAACAAACAAGGCCCGTCTTCATATTTTGATTTAGATAATTCTGTCAGAGACATTCTTAAGAAAACCAATTTCTTCTTGCACGGTGATAACTCTGATAATAATGTATTTGACATAAATTCAAAAGTAATCAAGGGAAGTATGAGCTGTCTAAACAGGATAAATGGTCAAGAGAAAACATTGTTTTGTTGTTTTTTTTAAAAATGAAAAAAAGCTATCAAAGGATTATTTTTTCCGTATGTAACTTATAATGTGTATGCTATGAATTGTTAAATAAATTGTTTGTAAACAATTTTATCGACACATTAAAAAAGTTATGGAGTGCGACTTTAGACTAGTCCTGGATTGTACATGTTATTGTAAAACGTTAAACCTACCTTTGAGTACTTTTGAGTTTGAACTTGTCATATCTTGTCAAGATGTTTTAGATTTTATTTTTATAGTTAAGGGATAACTAGTTTGCATTTGAGAGTACAAACTGACAAAATTATATTACAGATATATAAAAATGTAAGATAAGTTATGCTTCAATTATTCAGATATTGAAGATGAATATCACTTTCGAGTGTACATCCCATTGTTATTCAAAGAAGAGGAAAATATTTGAAAATAAGATGTAATAAAATGTCCGTATTCTATCAGTTTATTTATTTTTAAAAATGTTGAACTCAGATATTAAAGTTGAAATAATTCAACTATCCAGAGTTTGTTAAGAGTCACTTACTATATGTATATGCAATTTTTTATTTAATGTTGAACTTTAAATAAATGATTGTTTATTATCTTCGTACGTCTTTTTACATTTAGTACCATATGTTTCAAGTTACATATACACATCTAAATAATAGTTTTGTTCTCTTCTAGTGGAACTAACATTGCTTTTGAAACTAATAGAAACAAATAAAATTTTTAGATTAAAAAAACAACAGAAAATACAACTCGTCAATAAGCACTGTCTTCAAAGCATAATCAAAAACTATTTATGCCAGTTAAAAAAAAATCAAAACATTATTATTAGAATTAAGAAAAGAAAGAAAGATCATTGCTACCTTTCAGATGGAGTCCTATCAGTGATATACCGAGGTGAGATGTGTCCTTTTTATACTCTATAAAAAAATTAGGACATACAAGTGTCATAAAATGACAACATGATAAGCATTGAATGACCTATATTAATTTAAGGTAACATTATGATCATGTTATAACAAACACAGGACTAATGTCTTTTTCTTAAGACCACTAGTAGTGCCAATACTTTCTATCAAATAGACAAATTGCAGTGAAAGGACAGACGCTACACGGCTCGTTTTAATCATATTGTAATGTTTTGTGCATTAATTGCGTTTTACGTATTAATACAAAGATATCTTAAGGAAGAAAATAAAATAGAAATTTTTAAGCTTTTTTTTTTATTTTTATCTATAAATAAATTTTTC